ACTCCAGCGCAGTTAAAAGGAGGTTAATCCGAACGGAAATTAGACAAACACTGCTGCTTTTTACTTTTGGGATCTTCCGAAAGTAAAAAGAAGCAGTGTTTGTCTAATTTTCGTTCGGATTAACCTCCTTTTAACAGCGACATTGTCTGAAAAAACACCCGCTTTTGCGGGATTTGTTTAATTTAAAGCCCCGTTTCCCCCGTGTGATAAACTCCTATGGTACTTTGGCCACATCATGAGAAGGCAGGGATCCCTAGGAAAAACAATAATAATAATAGAAAAAGTAATAATCTTTGACTTAGGAAAGGTAGAGGGGAGAAGAAAGAGAGGAAGACTACAGACCAGATGGACAGACTCCTTCCGGGGGTTATTTTGGGGAAGGGCTTGAAGGATCTGGAAGATAGGGATCCTTGGCGATCTCTCATCAGTCGGAACCAACTCAAGGGCCGCTAACAACAACAACAACAAATAAACAAATAAAATTAAAAAATAAAAGGGAAATAAATCTTGCAACTAGAGATCACAGAATACAGGAAAGGAAGTAATGTGTGTTTTGTGTATGGTTTATTTTATTTGTTTATTACGACCATTCGGTCAGCACAAAGTTTTGTGTATGGTTGTTGTTTCTAACATGTGATAGGAAGGGTTTGTTAGGACAGGTGATGTTTGATGTTGTACCATGTTGTATGTTGTGATTTCTTTTTTCTTTTTTTTATGTGCATGTATGTTAGAAACCAATAAAAATTAGTTTTAAAAATGTATAGCTTGTTCCACCCCAGAGTCGAAGGACGAGGCTCCAGATTCATTGAAATAGTTCCCATTTTATATAATCCCTGAATTGCTCATCCAATCAGCTCAACATAGATCATGCCCTGCCGAAAGGCAATTCTTACACGTCTTTTAAAAATATACTTTCTTGCTTGGGCTTTACAGATAACAGTTTTCAACATTATAGTGTAGACCAGCCTCTTCCAAGCTGGCATCGTCCTCCAGATGTGTCCTCTGTCACCATCAGGATTTGGGAAAGTTACCTTTTAGACTCCAAATCCCAGAATTACCTAGCCAGTACGACCACTGGTTGGGATACTGGAAGTTGTGTTAGTCCAAAAGGTAACTTTCACAGGCCCTAATCACTACCCAGCATACTCAGTGGCCATGCTATATGGGGATAATGGTAGTTGCAGTTGCTGGGGGACTAGAGACAGTGTGGCCTAGTGGTTTGAGTGTTGGACTGCAACTCTGGAGACCAGGGTTCGATTCCCAGCTCGACCATGAAACCCACTGGGTGACCTTGGGCAAGTCACATTCTCTCAGCCTCAGGGGGAGGCAGTGGGTAACTGCTTCTGAACAATTTTTTTCCAAGAAAACACCATGATAGGGTTGCCTTAGGGTCACCATAAATCAGAAATGACTTAAAGGCACACAACAACAACAACAGGTCTAGACACACTGAGCTACGGGGGAAGTAGAATTGGGATTCATGATGATCAATCTCTTTGGAAGAATTTTCTAATTTCGGAAAGCCAAGGAGCTATTTTTGATCTGAAAATAGGAGGCACGTTCTCCTCCTACATTGATTTTAAAAAAAAAATACTACTCAGAGTCCAAAGAGCCCTTTCTGGGTGCACCCTTGAGTCGGTTACTTTATGAACATTTATTATTATTATTATTATTATTATTATTATTATTATTATTATTATTGGACAAATTTTATTGTAATACAATTCAGGGATTATATATTTAAGCATTCATCATTTAAAAACAGCAATGAGTGAGGCCAGATGGAGCTCGACAGTCTAAAAATAGAAAATGTTCCAGCAAGATATGTCCAAAACCACGTCGCCCTGGACCATGTTTTAACAGCGCAGTGACTCACTGGAAGACTGACCGTTCGGTCCTTGCTGCTGACTCACTGACCCTTTGAGGGTGGTGTCCAGAGTGGGCTGCGGACGCTGACCCCAGGGTCCTCTTGTTTTGCTGCTCCTCTTGCCAGATTCCCTACAGCCCCGTATTAAATTTACCAAGCAAGAGTCCAAATCTCTTAGCAATTGGCCACCCTCTTCCTTCAAAATGTCAGAACTTGCCTCCTGGGATCAGCTTTATGTTGAGTCCAGGGCTGCATGGCCTTTTCTTCTTTTCTTTCTCCTGCCTTTTTTAAAAATTAAGTTTCCAAAATTTAAAAAAAATACATATAATACATACAGATAAACTTACAATCCAACATCAAACCGGACAAAATCTTAACACCAAGACAGTACACTTCTATCATCACAAAGATGAAAAGAATTTCCTTAGTGATTGTAATCTCTTTCCTAATTGTCCCTTTCTTAGTTTTTCTTACAAAAGTATTCTTCAAAAAGTCTATACTAAAACCTACATGACAATTAATAATAATAATAATAATAATAATAATAATAATAATAATTTTTATTTATATTTCCCGCCTCTCCCTGCAGATCAAGGCGGGATTACATCAGTAAAAAGTAACAGCAATATACAAAATACAGGAATACAAAAAATATATATAATACCAACAATAAAATATCAACATGACAAAAATTCTAATAAAAATAACCCAATTGTCGTCCACACTCAAAAGCCAAATAATCAATCAAGATAAATTAAGGTAATTAAATGCTCATCTTAACCTACATCTTTATTAACCTTTATTATCTTTGATATTCTTCGTTCCTCTAATATTGTTGAGTACTCTTACACAAAATTAATCATAGTCGAAATTAATCATGGCCTGGGGGTGGAGCTGAGGCGGAGTGACCGCACGCCGGCCGCCCCGACGCCACCATCACGCTGTGCGTCCACCGCACGGCGCACAGCATCAGGGCACTCCCTTGGCGCGGCGTTTAGACACGCTGCGCCAAAGGAGCGCAGAAGAACCGGGTGGCAGTAAGGGCAGCTTTCTGCTGCTCCAAAAAGGAGCGACATTTGCCAGCTTTTTTGGAGCAGCAAAGAGCCGGACTGGGGCCGCGGCGTGCGGTTGCCGCAACCCCGATCTGGCGCTCCTGGGGTGGCATGGAGTTGTCCCTTAGGGCCGTCTGTATAGCCCCTTGGTCTTAGATGCGAGTGCAGGTGATGGTATTGGGGAAGATCCCCAATTCCCTCTCCAGTTGTTCTTCCTGAGACCTACCGTAAATGCACATTTTTAAAAAGAAAGAAATGGAGAGATGCAGACATATAGTCTTAGCTCTCTCCTAGAAATCCAGATCGCTCTGCCAGTTCCTCTTTGGACTGGCTGCTTCATAAGCAAGGCTACCCATTTTGCTGTCCTGGGGGGTGATGGACTCCCCAGGAGTGGGCTCAGATTAAGGAGCCAGGATTGATGGGAAAGCCATTTAGCAAAGCCTGGAGAATTGATTTCTTGGACTACAACTCCCAGAATCCCCCCAGCCAGCATAGTCAGTCTGGAGGTGTAGTCCAAAAAAGTACTGTCCCCAAGTTCTGGAGGCCTTCAGTCAGAAGGCCCTGTTCAGCTATATTTCTCTCTCTGTAATGGGTTCCCCGATAAGCCAGCGTGGTGTAGTGGTTTGAGCGCTGGACTGTGACCCTGGAGACCAGGGTTCAAAGTCCAGCTCATCCACAGAAACCCACTGGGTGACCTTGGGCAAGTCACACTCTCTCAACCTCAGGAAACATCAAAGGCAAACCCCCTCTGAAGAAACTTGCCAAGAAAACCCCAGGGTAGATTTGCCTTAGGGTCACCGCAAGCCAAAAGCGACTTGAAGTCACCCATCAACAACAACAGAATGGATCCTCTCCCCTGGTAATGCAATCAAGATGGAAGCAATGGGGAGGAGGCATGAGGATGCTTTCATAGCCTACATCATCTTGGATGACCCATCCTGACAAATTCCACGAATGAGACAAAGTGATTGCACAAGGAAAAGATTGCTCATGGAAGCAAGTTCCTCTGCTCACGTAAACACACAGTGGTCACACTCCAGCAAATGTTAGTCACCACTGAAAGCCAACCCCAATGATCTTTGAAGGAAGTCTTGCTCTCAGTCCCATCGCCATTGCAAGCGGTGAGGACCCCGGAGAGGGTCTTCTTGGTGGCTGCTCCCAGGCTGCGAAACTCCCTCCCATGGGAAGCCAGGTTGGCCCCCTCTCAGCCCTCTTTCTCTTGCCAGACAAGAGAGATTATCCCACAGGGAAAGAGGGATCGCGCCCATCCTTACCCCGTCCTTATTGTGTCAACACTGATCCCATCCTTCTCCCGTCAGTGTCACCCGTCATTGGATGTTATCACACGGGGGCAAATCTGCTGGTTAATCCACACAAAATCCAGATCAAAGCTGGATTAGTGCCCCGTGTTTTCACACAACGTCACACAGAAAGTGGACAGAAAGTGGACAGAAACTGGTGTTAACCGTGATCTTTTGAAATCCAGTTGTCTGGAGGAAATGCAAATGCGCAATTACGGTAATTACGTATTTACTGTAATGTGATCTCCAAATGCGCATTGGGGAGCATTTCCCTGCTTTTCCCATGGTTCCCGCGAGCATTCCTCTATCTGCGCATGTGCATGAGGCACATTTCTAGTACATTTACGGGTTTTTTTCTCTTGTGTGTGAACGTTCAATGCACTTACTGTAAATTCGTAATGAAGGTAATGACGTTTGCGGAAACAAGGTTTATTTCCCGTTTATTTTCGGGATGCCTCATTTCCACTTTATTTTCAGTTTCTGGGCCACGTGAGTTTCCATTAATACAAACTGATGGGGCCGTGCCACTTCAGGAGAAGGACGGGATAAGTGTGACGTTGTCTGAAAATCTCTCATCCATAGGGTCACCATCAGTTGGAACTGACTCAAGGGCAGCTAACAATAACAATGAAGCCAGGGATAAGGAACCCCTGTGACCCTTCACATGTTCCAGGACTCCAGCTCCCATCAGCATGGGAGCCCAGTGGTTAGGAATGGTGAGAGTTGCAATCCAATAACATTTGGATTTATATTTACAAAAGCATCCACCTAAACCATAGGAAGAATGTCTTGACAGTGGAATAGATTGTCTCGGAGGGTGGTAGTCTTTGGGGGGTTGCAGATTGCCAGAAATAGCGCAAATTGAATCCACTTTTAGGGTTAGGGTTAGTGCTAGGGAATCATGGGAATTGTTTTTTTTCTGAGACATTGAGCCTTCTCTGTCAGAGAGCTCTGGTGCCACAATAAACCACAGTTCCTATGATTCCCTAAGCCTAAGCCTAAGCCTAAAAGTGGACTCAATTTGCGCTATTTCTGGCAGTCTGCAACCCCCCTTTATTTCTTTGGAAATCTTTGGAAAGAGAGGTTAGATGGGCACATTTCAGGAGTGCTTTAGGGTGCATGCAAACTGAATAAAAAGGCCAGGAAGTCCCAGGTTTTGTTCCCATCTTTCCAATTTTATTGTGGAGATATATAGACATTTTGTTTATCTTAGAATAATTTTTATTGGTACTCAGTACAAGCAGAGCCGTTTTATACCAGCTCCCCAAGTTGATTTATTATAACCTAATATAAAAACGAAAACAACAGGAACAAAATCTGAGACTTTTCCCTGTTTTTTCTTGTAAAAAATATTTGTATTTATTAGTTTCACATGAAATATTACAAGCTAACATTTAACAACTAAGATAACAAGAAATGCTTAAAGAAGAATTAAACATAATGAAATAGAAAAGCAAAAGCAAAAAGGAGTAAGTACGGACGCTGACGGAGGATGGCAGGGATGAAGTCTACAGCAAAGGACCGTAATACTATTTCAAGCTGCATGAAAGCCTTTTACATAACTTTCCCCCAAAGTTTTTTTTTTGGGGG